ATGCCCGCTCGTCGTTCTCGTTGGTGACCCTTTCGCCAACGCTACCTTTTGGCGCTCATGAACACTTCCGTCGAGCGTTTGCACGCAGTTCATCACCTTCTCCGACGTGGCGGTCTTCGAGTTCGACGTCATCTTGCTCTTCGCCATTTTGGCGCTGCACGTTGACCTCGAGCTGTTCTGGGTCTCCCGCGCTTCTGAATCGCAGCGTCCCAGGACACGAGGGTTTCGGGCGCGGCCGCGACCCGCTGCTGGGCGCAGCCGTCGAAACGCTGGCCCCGAAACTGCTGGGCGCGAGTGTCCTGACTTAGGATTCCGCTGTTGTCGTGGTGCAGGCCAAGCTCAACGACGACATCGGTGCTTTCCTTGCCCGCGCGTGGAAGGATTATTCCGAGCCCGTGGAGCTAGTGCGCGCGAGCGCATGCTCAGCCCCGCGGGCAGGAACTGGATATGGTACCATCGAAAGCGCTTGACGCAAGCCTTTTGCAGGACGATTTCGCGACCGCTGATGCTCCTCGTCTTGGAGTGGACGTCATGGATGGGGACGTCCCTTGACCGTTGTGCAGTGAGCTGCTCCATTCTGGGAGACTGCGCGCGGTGTCTTGTATGTCCGGAGGCGACGCCACTTCCCGGCGCAATGGCGCGCGAGACGTTTGTTTTGACTTCTGCGAGCGGGCTGGGCTCCGCCCGCTGAGCGAAGCGCCGCGCTTGCTGCAGGAAGTGCTCGGGCGGGCCAAAAGACGGAGGCCAGCAGACATACTGTGCATTCCCGCGCTGGCATTGTCCAGGCGCCTCCCCGATGGTTCGCGTGCGATTCGTACAGAGCCTGTCTGTTTCGATTTCTCTGTCATCGACGCCTTGGGGGCCGGCCACTGCGAAGACGCAGCTGCTGGGGCCGGTGCAGCGGCGGAGAGGTGCGACCAGAGGAAATGAACCGACCGGAACGTGGAGCAGCAGTGCATGGCAGCCGGTTTCCGTTTCTGGCCCGTCGTCCACGAGACGCAGGGCGGGATGGCCGCGGCCGCTTCCGCGGCTGTCCGGGCAGTCGCGGCGGCGGTGGCTGCCCGGGGGCGGCGGGGGGCAGCTTCGGTCAGGAGGGAGTTGCAGTCTCGCGTGGCGGCGGTGATCGCTCGCAGCACTGTCAGGGCTATCAGGGAGAGGAGAGCCCTTGGGCCGGCGGCCGACGTGCCGCCAGCAGTCCAGCATATCATGCGGGACAGCGACAAGCAGGGCGTCGTGTAGACAGCCCGGATGCCCCCCCCCCCCCTCCCCCGCCCCCCCCCCTGCGCCCCCCCCCCCCCCCCCCCCTCCCTCCTCTCCTTCAGCGCGAGTTTGATCATGTATTTTAAGGGGATATGCGAGGAGGCCTTGGGAGGCCCGCTTCCCGGCCGATCGGCGGCCTGTAATTTTCCGGTCGCGGGCGCCCGCGTTTTGGCAGCCCTGGGTGGGCTCTCGTCATTGTTTGCGCTCGTCTGTCCAGGGGGGCAGGATTTGTCCACCCCAGCCGGCGCCCGACGCAAGCAGCGTTGTCATATGTGGACAGCTGCCGGAGAGCATCCCGAGGATTGGCCGCTGGTGCTCCTGTCCTGTCCCTTCCCCTTCTTGGTTCCGCTTCCCGCGTGATGAATTTCCTCGCTTGGTTTCAATCGGCCGCGTCGCCGTATAGGCTGCAGTTTGCGTTTTGTTCTGGCGCCTGTTCTTCCGATTGAGGGCGGCTCTTTGCGCCTCCACGGCCGCTTTGAAGACGCCCTAGGGCGCGTCGCCTGCCTAGTCCGAGTGAGCCACCGCCGCCCAATTTTGAAAGAGGTCGGATGCCCCACAGACCTGGGCGGAGACGCTGAACAGCAAGTTTCACTTGCGCTCGGCGCTCCAAGTTCTGGAGAAGTCGGTCGAACCAGCCCATCTTACTGGGCTCGCCTCAGCGGACTGTGCAGTCTGCGACCTCCGCGCCCAGCTGGTAGGAAGCGACGCTCAGCTCGGGAAAGCAGAGGGCGACTTCTTCTGCTACGCTGGTGAAGGTATGACCATCAACGAGACTGACCTCATCGCGTCCGCGCCTCTGAGCGCGGCCCCCGGTGTTCAGCTTATCCCCCCAGCCCTATCCTCGGGGGACACGCGCTTTCTCAAGGTGCAGAAGGACGGTCGTGCCTTCTGCGACGGCGGCAAAAGTGGACCGCGCGAGCTCCGCGAGGGCACGTGGGAGGGCGACTGGATCCGCAATTACCCGGCAGAGAATCGGGAAATCGCTTGCAACGAGGGTCACAACTGCCGCTGGTTTTGTCTTTGGTGCAGGCAGCGCCACCTGGAGGAGAGCGGCGTCGAGGTACCGAGGGGGAACGTGGCAGAGAAGTTGGCCGCGTGCCAGAAGGACCGAAGTGCTGAGCGTGCGGTCAAGGTCAGCAACGCTATCCCGACACCTCTACGCATGCCAGCGAGCCCAGGTACCCAACCCCAGCAGCGACTGCGCACTGTCGCAGCTGTTCCTGACGGCCACTGGCAGCGACGACCCAGGGCAGATCGGCGGCGCTATCCCCAAGTGCCGCCCCAGTGACGACCAGTTCGGCACAGGCGCCATCGAGTCCAGCTCCCAATCCGCCATCGTGCGACAGCTGCATCGTGGGGCCGGTCAAGTTAACGTGGGAACCGGGCCGCCCCGCGCCCGGCCGGCTCCTTTGTCTGGAGGCCCAGTTCGGGCCTGGGATGTGACGACCGATGCGGCCTTCCCGAGTGGGGCCGTTGGGTGGGATGCTGGTCCGGCGCCTTCTGGAACGCTTCCTGGCACCGCCGCGTCTGCCTGGTGTGCATCTAGGACGTGGCGCCCAGTGTCCTCGAGGTCATTCTGGACAGGGGCTCTGTCCGCTCCTGCCCTCCCTCGCCATCGAAGAGGCCCCCCATGGCCCCCCGGACCCGCCGCCGACGACGGCCTGCGGGGCGAGCTCGGCCACCCGCGGGTCGTGGCGAGACAGGGCGTCGCGACGCCGCCCCGGTTTCGTCGGCCCGACCGTTCAGGCAGCAGTCGGTGCGAACGCATCCTCAGCCCACCCCGCCCTCGCGCCCTCGTGCCCCCCCGTTATAGTCGCCGTGACGTCGAGGCCCATCTTGCAGCGGCGGGCGACCGGCGTGGGGCGGAATCGGCCTCTCCCCTGGCGCTGGCAAGGCGCGTCCGCTGTCTGGGCCCAGCCTCCGACGACGCCTGGATCGCCCTCGCCTCCCTGTAGGGCCCCAAATCGGGGCTCTGGAGTGAGCGACTGGGGGCGCAAACTTGCTTGCTCTTACATCCGTTCGCACGCTCTACGCCAGCGCGCTCGCCGACGACGGAGTCCCGCCTGGCGTCGCTTGGGGCGGCAAGAGATGGGCGGCCGTTTGCCTGGCGCGTCGCTTTGCCTAAGAGGCCTTGATAGGGCGCGCCTGGAGGCTCTATGCTCAGTGGGGCGCTCCAGTCATGGGCGCCGACCCCACCCGCCGCGGGATCTGCGCGCTCGTCGACAGGCTTGCAAGCCTCGAACCCGCGTGCTCGCGG